ATAAACACGCCTGAGACCCTGGTTCGATTCCCATAATGAGTATAATGCGTTAATCCTATTACCATTATTAGCATGTTTGTGAATAGGGGCCATACTCACTTTTTCATTAACTATTTCTATTTAGATCATATTCGATTTCACAAGCATGCGTGTATTGTTTACACTGTTTACATTGTACAGCCAGTTTCACGTCTAATATTACACTATATGGCATTAAATATTATGTGACATTAAGCCGATTTGCCTGATCCAAAATGTTGTTAAAGTTACTGAACATAAAAGAACAATGTTACCGTCACCCATGGCTGTCAATCAATTTTCAATTGCCCGTAACAACATCGCCCCAAGAGCACCACAACCCATTACCTCTCAGACCTATCATTGCGGAAACACATTACCTATCTCAAATACGTACTACAAACACACCGCCATGTGCCTTTCCAAGGGTGGGTCAAAGGTCAGATGTCACCTGAATAATTCATGGTCTCGTTCCCTGCTGAACCAATCAGTATTATTTCTTGTCTCGCGAGACTGCATGTCCACATGTGTGCACATTAGCGGAATTGCACTTGTTGGCATGGGTTGCCATGGGGACATTGTTATGTGAAGAACTGCTGAAGAGTTAATTTTGCATGACATGCAATATTTCGTGAAAGGTATTGCCGATAAAATCTATTTCAATATACTTTGATTAAGAATGTTATTTCTATTCATGGCTGGAAGAGAATGAAGAAAGGGGACATGCTATTGCAGACTGAGGTTATTCTCTATAGCAAGACATCACGCCAGTTTCTCGTCGTAGTCTTCTACCCGTTACCCTGACGTCTCGCATTTTCTAGTCAGCCATTGTGTGAGTGAGTTTGTGTATTTGGGTTTAATGCCGTCTTGAACAATTTTTAGATCAAGATGTGGTTACTGTGGATGGAAAACCAGACATACGCATGTCTTGGGTGGTTTCCACTTTGGTGAAACGTACGATCACCGTATGGTACTGGTAAACCAAAGTATTTGGATTCGAACTGACATTCAGCGGATCCTGAGTCATATGCCCGTGTGCTACTGAGAATCTGTTTTATTAAAACGTCAGAACTGTTTCTCGTGAACAGTTATGTAAATTTAACGTTTATGCATTTAGTTTTACATGTAATATTTTTTAATTTGTTCGGCGGTATAATCCACTATTGTAAACGGGGAAACCTACTGTCATATCAATTGTTTATTTACGTCTCACTTGTGTAAATAAAACATAATCAGAAGACATCATAAACACTACAAAACTTAAAGCAAAAGTACACAACCAATCGCCCAGTGATTTATGAGAGACGATGAAAGACAAGTATAATAATTCATAATATTAATATACTTATATTAAGATAAAAGATACACTGTATATACAAAAATTAACTGAATTAACTAAAAACAAATAACTAAATATATAAGCTCTCTCCGTTTGGCTGAAGTAGAGTGGCAGGTGCTGGCAGTATAAGAAACAATATATGGTGTGCTTAAATGATAAACTTATCACAAGACGAATAGCCAGTTGTCACCCCCCTTCCCACCCCAACCCCAATGAGTATATAAGGTGAGGTGAAGTGAAATTGGGTTTAACGTCGTGCTTGAGAATATTTCGCTCATATGCGTGCCTGTTGTATGTGTAAGTGTGGCTGCTTGTACTAGACCAGACTGAATCTGGTTTTATAGTGCTAGCCCACTGAGATACCATGCCACAGTGAAGCATGAATACCCCACTCAGACACATCATACTGACTCCGAGCTGACCAGTCCTTGTTGTACCCATTAATGCCGAACGCCAGGCAGGGACCAACAAGTACCATATGTTAACGTCTTTTGGTATGACGTGGTCGGGGATCGAACCCGCGACCTTCCGCTCTAACCACTACACCACGGAGGCGGTCAGCTTTGTATTATAAGGGATGTAAGCGGGGTAGCCTTTAATTCTAAGCGGGATGGTCAGTGTTTTAAACCTTAGGACGCCACACTGAAAGGTTTGATTATCAAATGCTTTCGAGAAGATTCGATCACTCCCGCAACTAGTGAATGCAGATGACAAGTAACGTAGATGTGCCATAAGTTAAACTAGATCAACAGAACATAAACAGAACAGAGCTCTGTGCTATCTGGACATGAGGTGAATGAGTGGTCAATTACTGACTGTGGTAAGTCGGTCAAGTCTTGAAACACAAATGGGAAATCATCAGTTTATTTACACGGTGTGACATAGAACACTTCACTTGTTAGGACTAACTTGACCACCGAGCCATTCAAATAGAGAAACGTGGAATATTTGGTCCTCGTCCTCGTCCTCGTCCTCGTCCTCGAACATCAGTAAGTAACGGTCACATGAAGAAAAGTGATCAGGTAGAACAAGAACATGGTAGGTCATAAAATACTCATGCAAATAATGGTTGTCACCCCCTCCCCACCCCAACCCTACACACACACACCCCACACCCCCTCTCCAATTAAAAAAATTGAAGGGGGTGACAACCATTATTGCCATGAGTATATTATGCAACAACTAAAATTAGAGGGAGACAACTGCTGTATGGATTTCCTACACTGAAAGGTCACCTGTGATTGACCCCAATCAGCAGTGATTGAAGTGCGCAGTGGCCATGCTTGTAATGTAGGCTAGGTGACTGAGTCATTCATGGCGATGGGGGAGGTATGAGTTCACACACTTACCACAGTGTATGCTACAGTTCATATATTACTACAAACAACAGGAACCCAGCACCATTCAGTACTAAGGACTGGATGTTCTCACGTTGTTTTTACTGAGCCATTCATATAATGTCCATCAAAATTTGTCACTATATGGCTGAAACTACCTCGATGTGACGTAAAAATCAAACTCCATAAAAATTTGTTTGTTTGTTTTTTTACGCCCAATGGGGTCTAATTCAGCAGACGCTCGAAACTGAATATTCCATATCTTTTATAGATTATATTTTACTACAGTCATTTATTGATGTGAAAACACACACACACGCACTGTTACCATTTTTGCATATGCATTATCAAATAACGACAAGACCAGAGAATAGCATATCTCGATTATCAACAGAAAAAGATTTTGCGGCGCATTTTGGGGCAAGACCGCGGAGAAAATTATATCAATGAATCACAGGAAATCACCTGTGACACCAGGTGTTCACGGAATGGGCGACCTCATCCAAGTAGGACCTGTGGACCTGAGTGTGAGCTTGCATGACAAGGCAGATCTGGACCTGGTTTGTTGTCTGCTGTCCTGCCGACCCCCTGTGACTCTGGCAGATGACGACCTATGGTCGTACATAGAGACTGTTATGAAAGGACTATCCTTCCTCTGTGCATAATTCTGTATATCTACTTCAATGAACTCTAAACCCTAATTTATCGAATTATCGCATTTCTATGTACTCTCCTATGGAGGAATAAAAGTGTACATATATGACCCCCGACTCTAAATGCTTCACAGTACAATACATTGTATTATACTGTGAAGCATTTCGAGTCGGGGGTCATCTCAAAGTTTTGTATATATTTTATTTAATCCTCGCAAAGACACGAGGGCCTGTGCCCACAACTTGTCGCACGCAATTTGTTGCTTAATGCCCGCAGTAGTACGAACTGTCGGAGGATGTCACAAAACTGGATCAAAATTGATGATGTTTGATAGCATTGGCAATGATGTTATTATTCTGAAGCCTCTTATGCATCGTTGTGTCCAACGTGATTTATACAGACTTAGGCCAGAAATTCTGATACATATTTGATTTTTTCATCGTGATCCGTTGTAACCAGATTGTCCAACAACTGTCTCTATTTGTCAGGGCTTCCCGCCACCAGATTTCCGCACAACTATTTTGTTATGCAACGATTCCCGAAACAAATGTACAAATATTGTTATTAAACTATAATGCATGCTAGTTCATAACAGGTAAAGCCTTTCAAACCGTAACAGGTGGCCACGATCGTTAAATTTTGAAACTTTATAATGCTGCAGCTCTGGCCTAAAACTCAGAAGGTCACTGAAGTGAGCGTTTGTAACCACCTGTGGCAACATGGAACAAGTGGAGCGGGTTCGGGAAGGGTTGATGGATGAGATGAGAGATCAAACTGAACCTTGCTCGGCTGCGTCTCTCGTGGATGACGTCATCAGACACGCTGACAAAGTAAAGATGGCCTTGGATCTGCCGGGTAGCGCTCTTCCATGTTGGCTTCAAATAAACGTTCACGGTGAGGATGAATTAATTACGTGAGCTATTAACTGATTATGTTTTCTATATGAGTCAGTGTTCGTCATTAGGGGTCTTTCTCGGTGGCATAAACAGTCTTGTCTTCTCTGTAAAAGTGAATGTTTTTTGGAGTCTAACGCCACTTTCATACCGTTTGACAACTTCATAATTAAAATATGAAACATTTAAAGTCATGCTGAAAGACCAAATTATCATAACCGAATCAAATGTTGGGTTCAAACACATTGTGTTACTTGTGATGCCACCCGTGCACTCCCTTACGCCGCTTTAAAATATTTTATTTACAATACATCGTGTCAGCTTCATGTGGTAGGCCAAGACGTGCAGAGTGTGTGGGTAGTAAGGCTTGGTAAACCGCATGAACACGACATGATGGTAGCAAGAGAAAAATCATAAAGGCGTCGAATCTTGGATTCAAAACCCCTGGCAGGACGGAGGGACGTAGCTGTTAGTTGAGGACCCATATACCACCGGGCTACCCGTACACCTCCCCGGGCGTCGCGTCCTTCGGGGTTTGCTCCCAATGAATTCCAATCCAGTCATTAGCATAAGGCCATTGGGGTAGCCTAGTGGTTTAAGTGTTACCTCGTCACACCGACGGGTTCGATTTCGCTCATGGGTACAATGTGTGAAGCAAATTCCTGGTGTTACTAAAATATGAATGAAATCGGCGTAAAACCATACTCTCTCACTAACGACTCTTTCTCTGTACAATGTAAACAAAACAACTGCCACCTGTATGTGTAATATCATTTTATTATGGAGAAATAGTCAATAAATAGAGAACAAACATGAATGTACATGAACATACGACTAACAATAACACAGTGGCACCACCATCAGTGCAGTCAGGGAACCAGAAGCATCTACTGATAGGCAGCATGCTGTGGGTTGCATTGAGACGTGCACAATACCCTGGACTTTGCATTGGACATTGGACAACGGACATTGGTCAGTATCGCGACCCTTCAAGAGGTTATACACAATAAGTGTGCTGTGTAAATATTCAGTAAAGCCAGATACACTGCCTGCCCTGTGCTAATTAGTGATTCATGTCAAAGTTCAATATGGCCTGTTATTGCTGTCATAATATCATGTTATATTTGTGGAACTGATACTAAATACTCACTGTAATAAGGAGTGAGTGAGTGACTTTAGCTTTACGCCGCACTCAGCAATATTCCAGCTGTATGGCGGCGGTCTGTAAATAATCGAGTCGGGACCAGAAAATCCAGTGGTCAACAGCATTAGCATCGATCTGTGCAATTGGGAACCGATTGTAATAAGGAAGTGGGTCGGAGAGTAAATAGAGTTTAACGCCGCAGCGTCTATTTTGCAGCTATTCGAGGAAGAGGAAACGAGGAAGAGGAAATCAGGATACAAAAATAGCATTAATCAGAAGGCAACAATCATACAATCTGTATTGAATTTACAGTTAGATATCTTTCAAACACTTATCAACAGTGTCACGTTACGGAATATGATCAAATAGTGCTGTCTGGCCTCTCGTTACAACGTATAGTTCTTAATTTGTTTCTTGAGGGTGATCGAAACAGAAATATCATGTTTGATATTTAGAGCGATTTATAAAAGGAATGTTTTCACATTCGTGAAATTTGGAGAGTACAGATCCGTAGACGTACAAATGTCATCTCTTGATCTATATACACCGTTGCACACAAAATATTTTCAAGTTTACATGAAATCTAGTTTCATTTAAGCTGATGATTGGCCATGTGAAGTTCTTAAACTCTGAAGTTTTGTTAATTTTGACGAACTCTGATTGCGTATATAACCTGGAGAGGATAGGACATATAAGCATACATACATTCATACATTCAAACAAAATGATCACAATATGTACATTCATGTGTTACCAATACACACAGTCGTCAAAAGAAATATTATGGCACCTTCGTACATTGTTATTTATACAATATATAATATCGAACGTTTGCTGACGACTGTTCAAAGCCCTGACAAAATATGAATCACACGAAATCAATCAGAGATCTGTCATGACATCATCGCCCGAAGCATGCTACAATGTCAGTAGCACTGATGGCTATGGCAAGAAACTAGCATGGCTCATATGCGATCTATATGTGACATGATTTAGCACTTTCTTATCATTTCTGGTCCCATATCTTCAGATACAAAACATCGAATCACAACCTTCATATCAATCTTTAAAATGCGAATGTATTTCAATATTCAACTATTCTTAAGAGTTCAAACCACAGAGGCATATTAAGCCTAAGGCATATCCGTATCAGCTGAAACTCTTGTTATTGGATTCTTGATGGATTGTATCAAACTGTCTTTTGCTCCTTAAGCAATTACGCATGCTTTCAAAACATTAAAGTATGCGTTCCTGCATTGTATCGGCGAAATGGTATAGCGTTGAAGTGTTTGCAACTGTTTCACCTATATGATTACTTCAGCATTCTCTTGTCCTCCAACTCGTGTACTGAAATAGACCACGGATGTAAACAATGTCGGGTGAGAGACCTTCGTCCTCTTTGTGCCCCTACGTCAACGTGCGAGTCGTCGACAACGTGGTCTTATCGTGTAGTCCTCAACACAGCGCTTAAGTCACGCACAACCACGATGCCTCACGCTTGGCGTCCATGTTCAGGTCACTAAAGGTCACTTCTTCTCCAACCACTTCCGCCTACATCACTGGCCATATTTGCATCTATAAGAAGAACAACCGTTTGTATTTGTATGACTAGAATACCGCCAGTCATCAATGGCCCTTAACGTCGGCTGATATATTTATATTGTTCGTGTTGACAATAACTACCCTTGTTTCAGCTTTTTACCGCACGTCGTATTGTACGTAGTGTTGCACGGACGTAGACACCGCCACCTACATCACAAGTGTGTCACAAGAGGCTGAGGAACGGAGATCGAGGTTTCTGTGTAACCTTCGTTAATACCAGAGTCGTAAGAATCACGTTCAAGTTTCTGAATCTTTTGAACCATTTTGGACATGGAACCTTTCAATTGTTCGCGGCTCAAGGTTCTGGCACTATCGGCGTCGTCATAGAACGAGCCCCTGCTATCGTCAATGGACAGAGACAAGCTTGACGGTGACGGGTACTTGGGTGGTAGGTCATCCCCCAGCTTGGTAATGGACATGTCCGACTGCGACCAATCAGTGCTTGTCACGTCACAGGAGCTGTTCAAGAAGGAACTCTTGCTCCAACAGTATCTCCTCCGCCACTTGAGTTCCTCAATCTCCTCGTTCAGTGTAAGAAGCTGTTTCATCAGGGATAGGTCCTGGTCCATCAAAGAAGCCTGCAACAGGTGGAGAGTATTGGTTAATATCGGTGTCATACAAGTAGGAACGTGCAACACATCTTCCAGGCACGCCCAATACTAGTATATCAGAATCAACAGTGTGTAATTGGGCAACTCATTTCAATGGCCTTTGGCTAATTGACTTCTTGATTACTTTCGTATCAACTACGAGAATGGCTGATTGATGGGTACATTGTTGGAATATCTTGGGGCAAAGCTTTCACTAAAACACAACATGTGAGTGAGTGAGTGAGTGAGTTAGTTAACTTTTACGTGGCATCGGCACTGTTTCAGCCACATAGCGACATATACCGTCCATTTCAAGTATAAAGGTAAAAAGAATTTCTGTATATACACATTTCATCATTACAGTGTTATTTAAAACACAGCATGTGATATGGGCAGACAGCCTGGTAAAACTTAGTCTGTCTCACAGTCCCTGAACCACATTAATTTCCCTACTGCCTAGCCCTCTCTGCAATGCTAAAGCCCTAAATAAAGCAAGTCTTGATTTCCCCAGGTTCAGGTTCTGAATCTCTGGCCTCCCTAGGGCTCCTTTTCAATATAAATGGGCTTGTTTGTTACTATCAAAATTATATATATTCAGAGACTAAGCCTTAGTCTAGGTAAAACTGATCTTTCGCTTTTTCCAAATTACCAGCCACAGCATGTTGTGAGGGAATGTACCCAGAAGTAGCAGTGCCAGATAACGTTATAACCCTTATCTGCACGAACTAGCACACAGCTCAAACAGAATTGTGTACAGAAATATATTAACCCACATGCCCCGAGACTACGGAGGGGTCAAGAAACTGACAGATTGAGAATGTACACAGAATATGTAAACAACTGGTGTTATGCGTTATCCCTTGATCTTGTATTATTACATACATAGGTACAGTAAATGTTCAATCTGCGCCAAAGCATCTCTTGAAGATGAACCTGCCTTTCCTTATTGTCTTGTTTACGCTGAATTTGCTGGTAGCGTATTGTACAGAACAGGACTTGTATATAACGAGGGAATAACATTTATTGTCCAGTATACGCGCATACGAACTTCCAGAACCGGTCGATTTACTACTTAGTCTAAAGCATAAACAGCGCCAACTCTCAAGTGTATACGATATGTCTAAAACGACCTCTTTCCAGCACCTATCACACGTTTTATGACTACTACAGGGCCATCAAATGTATACCGAAGTGAAGAACATGCTACGATGTTATGAACGGTGTCTATACCACGTGACTGCAACGCAGTCAACTTACAGACCTCCCAAGTCCCTCTTCACACATTTACTGCACGGTCTGGGGGCAGTATTAATTACTTTCATCAGTGGTCACTTAAACATCTGGCCTCTGGACAAGGCTGTGTGGCTCATGATAAACGTTGGCCAACGAGACGGGAAATATTGATATAGATAGATGATATATTAGGCCTGAAACACATTCACCTGTAGAACCTACACTGACTGCTATATAGGGCGGTGGGGTAGCCTAGTGGTTAAAGCTTTCGCTCGTCGACCCGAAGGGCCGGGTTCGATTCCCCACCTGGGTAAAATGCGTGAAGGCCATTTCTGGTGTCCCCCGCAGTGATATTACTGGAATATTGCTAGAAGTGGCGTAAAACTAAACTCACTCACTCACAGCTATATGTGTTTGTTTTTTGGTCGGTGTGCTGTTTCGCGCCGCACTCAGCTATATTCCACTCTATACAATATTCGAGTCTTGACAAGACGATTTTAGTGATTGCCATGATGATCTACCCAATTGTGATTTGATGATTTTAAACCAATCAGCGATTCTGACAACCCGACGCCCCTGAAGAACACTTCTAGCCCGGATCGTCACGGGTTTGACTGTGTGAATATCAGCTAGGGTTCTAATTTTCTTGATAATTAAAAGGTGAGCGTCCTTTAATCGTAAGGTGCTAATTAGAAAACAAACTGAGGTTAATGTGACAGCAAGAACTACTTCCTAGGTATCTGAAACTAGTATTCCCGGAAAATGAGATGCCAAAACATCAATAGTTGCAAATGTATTCTCCGAGAATCTTAAATCTTATACCAATGGTTGATTACACTACTTCAAGCATGGTTAGGGTACAATTACATTCGCCCTTAAATGCGGAGTGTAAAACCGAAATCGAAACGTAACGTGCTTAAAGCGAAGTACTCGATCACTGACGACATCTTCAAAGAAGCTGCAGAACCTGAATTTCCTTCAATTCAGTTAGAACAAACCACAACCATAAAAATACACGCTGGAAATCTATCTCTGTCAAAAGGTCGTTCAAGTAAACGTGAAACGCTTTGTAAACACTGACGCCGCTGATGGGTTGTGTCCTTATACTTGGTGAAGAAAGACGTAGCTGTCGCCATACTAAAGGTACCAGAAGACACGTCAGCATGTATCTTGTTGGATTGTCCTTAAATTTCATATGACACGAAAGGATATAACTTCAGAACTACCATAAAGCAAATTTAAGAAATACGGTTCGAACCTCACCCTAAAGAGAACTATTATTTGTAGTCTACCCAGAAAGAGTAAACCCAGATATAACACGTTACATCTGACTGCTTTCTAAAAGACAATGCCTATTGACAATTCAATAACTTCAAACGACACTGACTGACTCAATCACTCGGTGGGAGAGAATATAGTTCATTTGTATTCACCCTACAGCTCAGACATTTCTCCATAACAGTCAAGGTCGTGTGATTATTTCCAGTTTATGGTGTGATATAAGAGAATCATGCACCTCGGTCGTGTCAATAAAATCAGACACATAAACCCCAGCTAGACACCGTGCTGTACCCCAGGGACACATTCTCTTACGAGATGGAACAGTAACCTAGCGACGGGAATTAATGATGATGAAATAAAACTGTGACAGTTTAATGAGTGTGTCCGTCATAACGCATGGTATTGTTTATCATGACCAACGGCATTGCCTTATGCCCAGCGTCAACACAATCAAATGAGTCCTGTTTAACTGATTATAATCACTTTCACGATCAATACGGAAGTACCCAACACACTAACATACATGTAACGCTGGCGTCGTATCATACGTACAATATAATGACACTATATGCTTGGGTTAAAACTGTAGACCTATCCATGAATTGTCGCATATATTACTCACAAAATACGATCACATATGACACGCGAACTAAGACGTACACTGGTTAGTATCATCCATCGTGAATATCAAAACTGTTAAACGGTACTTTTATGACATTACGTGTCTGCGGTAACTGATGTAGACCTATGCATGAACTGATTCATGTCTGCTGTACTGTTTATAAAGGCTTCAGGGACGGTGGGGTAGCCTAGTGGTTAAAGCGTTCGCTCGTCACGCCGAAGACCCGTGTTCGATTCCCCACATGGGTGCAATGTGTGAAGCCCATTCTGGTGTCCCCCCGCTGTGATATTGCGGAGTAAAAACATACTTACTCCCTCACTCACTATAAAGGCTGTAATCGCATACAACGCATTAATATAAATTTCACTCAAGATGTGTATCACAAATCTGAAGGAGCCAGTGATATTACACACCTTGGGGTCACATTTCAATAGGCTTAGACACGAACTGTTTCATGTCTCCTATCCCTTTTATAATAGCACTGCTCACATTACACCAGAAACAGACTACTTGAACTGATAATACTTGTGATTAAATCCCCTGTGAATGTCAATACGGAGGTATGCCATTCATGCGATGTTTATCAACTGAGAGTGACAAACGCTCCAAGCATTCCGATTACGTACGTACAGTCCCGACTGAGGGTATGACAGGCCTTTGTTGATACAGATAATCGAGTGATACTGTGGATGAGGGGAATAAGGAAATACACGTCTCTGTAAACATAGGTAGAATCAAGGCGTGTTGACAGTGACGACTGACTTGGTAACGTCCCAATGAGGGGTTGGCAACGCTGCTGAGGGGGGACATCCGCGTCCTGACGGGGGAGGGACGGGCATCAGGAGGGTGTCTGACTCACAGATTTTCCTCAAGTAAGTCATCACAAAATACACCTTGACCTACCTGGTTGCCATGACAACAAATGAGGAAAACATTTTTAAAGTTCTGGGCACTTTCGGAACGGTTCTGTCTGTAGTGGGCTTTCCTTTGATCCTATGGTTTAGAATTCGCGACTTAGTTGTGTCAGCGACACCGCAAATAGAAGTGGATTTAATAAAACAATTACCTGGAGCGAAAAACTGTTTGAATGTGTTTTTCCTTCTTTGAAATCGATTTCATGGCCGATGTCTTAGTGACAAAGAGCACGTTTCGTGTTTGTAGATCATTAGAAGAGCGCCGCTGCTTACTTGAAGTTGGGTTGGATGTTAGCTTTTTAATCATGCAAATGTTTCAGAATCCTTTTAGAAAGGAGGTCAACGTCGTGCAAAGAGACGGTACTGTTGTAGGCGTACAGAGACGAACTGGTATATAATGCCTGAGTCCAGTGTGTTTGAAAGTACCATACTTACATTCACAGTGAGCAGATGAATAAAATATATTGATGGTAACTTAAATAGAAGCTCATTTCGTTGGTCTTACAAAAGAGAAATATAGATCTACTGTCTGGTGTTGAAAGCGAAAAATACATTCATTTCCATATCCACAGTATATCTCTACAAAAGGCAACTTCCGTTGTTCGATTCTGACTATAGCACACGCATGTGTTAATAAATCATCATCACATAGTGTTGATACTAGGAGTTCGTTGAGCGTTGAGCGTATCCTGCTATCGGTGGAACCTGCCATAAACACATGCAAGGGCAATTCAATTGTCAACCTAAAAACACACGGGAACATATGATACAAGTTAAAAAAAGGGAATTGCATTATATTTTGTGACCGATTTGTCACATTAAGAAAACTCCTGCGTTAACTGCCCACATGTATTGTACACACTTCCTGACATTCACTCCGCCACCAATGTAGTCACGTTGTTCCAGAAGATATTCATGCAAGAAGGTCATTCAGGATA